AAGTCAGAGAATCTTGCCTGCTGTTACTCCTAAAATACGGTACAGATTTGGTAATGCCTTGCCCACGTCTTCTATTGAAGCTGTTATGTATCTATTTCTCATCTTGATTTCTTTACTACTATCATTTACATCCTCCTCACCTGCATGAAAATACATATTTCTGTCTTCAGACCTTATCAGAGACAATCGCATTGTCCCAAGCTGAAGCTTAAATTCATCAGATCCTAGCCTTCATTAAGACTCAGCTCTTCTCTCTAAACTAAGGGTACACTACAACACTTAAAATCAGACTTGTCTTTTGCTAAAATATTTATATCATACTCTCTGACCTCTGTAATACCCTTGTGCTCTGTTATTGTCCCCCAGACATTATTTTCCTTCTTAGAGCATATGTATCCTGAAAGTTTACTGCATCAGGCAGTGCTATATAGACAGGCAGAGCCAAAAAGATTTTTTCAGTGCCTTATGAGCATGGCAAAACTGTTTCTGGTACAGGGGTAGTGTGTATGGGGCAGTGCAATATGTTTGAGTATGCTGTTGCCTGGCATAGTATGTTGGGAGTGTAGACAAGACATGCCCTTACTTTACCTTGCCTAGTCTGTCTATAGGATGTTCATTAAACTGTCTAGACATACAAGAAAAGTAATGAAATCTGAAAGGTTTCATGATGAAATACACTAAACAAAAGAAATTGTATAAATATGTTAAATAATTTAATCCATGTGCTGAATCTTTTTACCATCTAAGAGCTTCATTTAAAACTGGTGAAATGTTAGCATATCTAATATTAAAGGGTTTTAACTGGTTTATAGTTTGGAAGATGTTTTAAAATAATAGACATTAAAGCTGAAGAATCTGAAGACAAGGAGATCAACATTTTCATGCTGCGGTGCCTTGAGTCGCACATTTAACTTCATGCCCCAGCAGATACAAACTAATCAAATCAGTCCCTGATTCGGGCTGAATCCGAATCCTAATCAAATATGGCCCGTTTTGCACACCCCTAGTAATTACCATGCTCCAGCAGACTCCAGCGTCATGTGTATCAGCATCCCTGCACTGAAAAATGGCAGTGGGGGGTGCTTTAATGCTGGAGTCTGCTGGAGCGTGGTAATTACCACGCTCCAGCAGACTTGATTAATTCAGTGAGCTTTAGTTAAAGCACCCCTGCCACCATTTTTCAGCACAGGGATGCAGATACATGTGACACTCCAGGTGCTTTAGTTAGGGTGTTTCTCGGAGCCACTCTAACCCCCCCCCCCCCTAGCACATCTAGAAACACCCTTAGTGCATATGGAGTTGGGGTGGGGGGTGCTGTGCTTGGTTTTTGGGGGGTCTAAAGAGGAGTTTTAGGCTTTAGGAGTTTTAGGCTTTCAGATTTAGCTCCGGCTGCCTAAATTTATATCCGCAAGTTTAAAGAATCTGAATCTTTACAACAGAATTCTTTTTTTTGTTTAATGGACTGATCCAAAAATATTTCTGGGATGCATCAAGTAAATAAATCAGGAGTAGTGTAGAACATTTCCAACAAGTACAGTAGTTAGCACAAATAATCTGGCATGAAGCAAGCACATCTGTTATTATATTTAGAGTACTTTCAATTATTTTGATAACCTCTACACATACTTAAAAAAATACCGGCAAAGTATTACTTTTAAAGAAATCTATCTTAGTGTTAACCATTCTACAAAGGGGACATCTGTACCACCTCTACAGTAATCCTAAGATCACCTATGAGAAACAAGCCACAGCCACTTGCTTTTGTTCTGTACATGCTACATGCTGAAAAAGAACATTTGGTTCCTGTCAGATGGGTCCAGCACTGCTCTCTGGAGCTCTCAACATACAGAGATCTTGAGTATAACTTTGGGCATGCTCCACAAAATGCTGCATGGCATTTTTTTAGCATGTGGCACATGCAGAATAGGAGTGAGTGGGTGGGACTTGTCTCCTGGCAGCAACCCTGTGATTACCATAGGGAGTGTATAGGCATATGAGTTGCAGCTTAATGCAGTAGCTCTTACCTGATCATTCTCTTCTTCATCACTACTTAACTTGAGGTCATCTTCTAGCATTCTGGAGAACAAAAAAAAAAGAAGAAATGTATTACCATTTATCAAAATAGTTTAGAAATGACATTTCATACTTTCTACAAAGGCAAAGTTTAATAATGTGCTTTTTGTATAAAAAATTAAAATATAGTAATTTATCTCAGTTACTGCACATAAATGACATCCTTCTTACGGTTATTCTTAGCTAGCAAATCCCCATGAGCTTGCTAATTCTTTTCTGAATGTAAATACCTGAGGGAAACAAATGTTTGCTACCAGTAGCCATAGATTTTGTAGAAAATGATTGCTTTGTGCATCGTCAAGTAACAAATTTTTAAACAGCATAAAAGAAACATTCGATTGATGCTGACAAATAGGCACTCCCAAATAAAGGAAAAGATTGCTCCATAAGGTGTAAAACTTACAACATGCAAGTAAATATGTATCCTAGCAGGATTGTGCTATCAAATATGACTCACTATGTTTCCTAAATGCCATGGTTGCAGTGTTAAAAGTTTGAAGCAACAATGACTTATTGACTGAAATAATTAAAGCTAAAATGTATTGTTGGAATACTCAGAAGTATTTACAGGTCTCATTTGCAAATTGAAAACAATGCACTTTTTCTAATAGGAATCTCCTTTTCTAGCACCTGCACTCTAAGTTATTTAATTTTGCTTGCAAAAAAGGGGGGCTTGTTTTTACCTCTTAGTACTTTATTGCAGCCTACCATTAAAATAACTAACAATTAACAGAGTTTAGAAGGTGTGAAGGCTTTCCTCAGTTTTTGAAAGGTCTCCAATAAAGGGATCCTACTCTTAAAATGCCTTTCTAATAACAGTGCTTTGAAAAGTAGCTAATTTTTCTTGTATTCTGTAAAAAGAGAATCTGTAATTTAGTCCTGACTACAGGAGAAAGCTTGGTGAAAAATTTAAATGCATTCTGTGAGGTGGGTGGTCCCCAGAGAGTAAATATATCAAGGAGACGCATATAATCATTTCAAAATACCTCCTTGTACTTGTGCCTAGATCTCAGAAGGAGGTGGCTGAAAAACTTAATATGTAAACTGGTAACAGGATGACTATTTCACAGATTCAGAGAGAAGGCAAAAGAACACGATGCCCTACTGGTGAGCACAGAATCACAGCTATTGGCTTCAACAGCAATCACCACCACTGCTGCAGAATAGCTCATTGTGGCAGACACAGTTTTGTTAATCAATGCCCTTTATGGGCATGTCCACACATGCAGGCACGTGAGCTTGCAGCAGCTCAAAAAGAAGCACACAAATTTGAGCTGGGGCTTTTTGCCTCAGTGCATGGGCCCAGACATACACTTTGGTGAAAGCTGCCTGCACTCTCTATTTACTGCGGCAGTCTGGCAGTGGGGGCTGCTGCCTGGCTGTGACCTGCTGCCACCTGCGACAGGATGTGGCCCCAAGGCTGCATGCCTGCCAGACATGGATGGGGACTGCATGGCCATTAGAGGCATCTGCACTTCTGGGCCAGCTGCCAGTGGGCTATGGCTGCAGAGCTGGCCTTTGTGTGGCACTACTGCTGTGTGTGCCCCCACCCAGCCATCTGGGCAGCTATTGCCTGGAAGATGTTCTCAGTGTGGTGGCCTGCTTTGGACTGTCAAAGCATGTCCTCCTGGCCCCAAGTGGCCAGGAGGTCAGCCACTTCCAGCTCGGTCCCAGTTGCCAGCTCTGAGCAGGCTCCTCTGATTGGGTCCTGTCACTTGCCTTACTAGAAGGAATTCTGGTGTTCCCTATTTAAAAACTGCAAAATCCCTGATAAAAAAAATCCTGAAGTCACTCTTTAAAATACTCCAAAATCCATCTTCTTCTACAAGTAAAACAAAAGACCACTAGATATATATATGCCGAGAGAGAGAGAGATCAAATCAGTTGGGCAATGTTTTATTGATATATTTATAATTTTAAAGCAATTTGGAAGCCTACCAGTGCCTCTATCATCATAATAAAATAAATTCTAAATATCTATACAGTTTGGCATTGACTTTTGACTTCTTTGTTGTAGAAAAATCAGAGATGCCCCTACCTGCTTCCCTCACCAGGATATGCAGCACTGAGCAGCACTGAGTGACCTGCCTCTGCCCTTGCCCCTCACTCTCAACCTACAGCCTGCCCCCCACCTCAGTTCCCTCATTCCTGACTCACAGGGCCAGGTATGTGGGTGAGGGGTTTATGGGGGTGACTTGGGGGTATGGGGTTTGTAGGTGGATTGTGGGGGGGCTGTGGGTCTGGGGGAGTGTACCTGGGGTGCTGCTTAGGAGGAATGGGTCCCCTGCCCCCTGCAGGGTGCAGCCCCTACCCTGCACAGCTCATGGACTGCCCTCCCACAGGGCCACAGCCCCCCAAGAGGGGCTACAGCCCCTCAACAGAAGCCCACAGACCCTCAACAGGGGCCAAAGTCCCCCAACAGGGGCCACATGCATCCCTGCAGGGCCCACAGCCCCCCCAACAGGGGCCCACAGCCCCAACAGGAGCTACAGCCCCCCAACAGGAGCCAAAGTCCCCCAACAGGGGCCACATGCCCCCTGGCCCAGCCCCAACCCCTACGCACTCCCCCAAACTTTCCCCTGCCCAGCCCCAGCTTGCTTCCCCAGCTCCTCCATCAGCCCATTGCCCAGTCCCAGCCCCTGATTGCTGCCCTGCCCAGCCTCAGTGTCCATGTACTCAATGGCAGTAGCAGCAGTGGTCAGGGCTGCTGGGGCCTCATGGCAGAGTGCCTCTGTATGGCACAGGGGGCAGCAGGCATTGGCCCTGGCTGCCTGGCACTTGCTGTCACTGCTGCATTGTGTGGGTGCAGCCTGCCTTGGCAGGGCACCACGTGGTGCTGTGGGCTGTCTGGCAGCTTGGGGCTGCTCAGGCTAAGTGGTGCCAGACTCTGGGTGACAGCTGGAGCAGCCCTGAGTTGCCAGACAGCACGTGGTGCCACACAGCACCCTGCTGAGCTGGGCTGCACCCACACAATGCAGCAGCAGCAGCATAGGTACCAGGCAGCCTGGGTCAATCCCTGCTCCCTCCTGCTGCTCTGCGCTGCATGGGGTGACTCTGCCATGAGGTCCGAGTGGCCACCTGACAGCTGCTGCTGCAGCTGGTGAG